GCAAATCAGTGAAAAATCCTTGTCCAGACATGTTAGGGTGTTGGAAATGTCCATGTTTTCACTGGAGTATGGGTGAGAGGTTAAGGAGTATCTGGTCTTTTGCAGCTCACACACTATTTCTGTCTTCTGATGTGCACCAGAGTGCATGGATGCCTCCTTTTCCAAACTGTGTCACTGTATTGAGGCATCTTCTGTGCTTGAGACAGGCTGCTTATAGAAGATTTGGAAAATATGCATCAGACCAAAAGTTATTTTGAATGAAATTACACCTCCTGCTTGAAAGTAAGAGTTTTATGAAAGAGGAGGTGAAAATTAACCTTATAGACTGTAATGTAGATGGCATTGATAACAAAGGACAGAGTAGTATATTGAGGCATTGTGATCTACCTATATTTACTGCCAGGCCAACTGGACTGACTGATGGTTGAGAAGGGAGAAACATGAGCCCTATGTAGCAGGTGGCGCATTGCACTGGTTAAACTACAATAGCAAGGACACATAAAATTGGCAGGAGATTTGCAATAGAGCTGCTCCTTTTCTTCCACCTGTGGAAAATACTAGATAATGATACTTAATTGTAATTATCAGTAAGGGATTACAGCTGCTGAGAAAAATGTGCTGACCCTGGAAGGTCATTTCCTCCTGCGTAGCATTGGCTGTCAGTTGAAAGCACAAAGATACACGTTTTTGACCTCTATGGCTGTTTTTCTATAGCCAGCAGGTCTGAGGCACTTCTTCAGGGTGCGTGCTGAATAAGTGATCCAAAGTAAAATCCTGCTCTAAGATGTGTTGTGCTTACTGAAGTGCTAACCTGTAATTTGCCAGCAGGAGTGCCTGCAAGTTGGGAAATTCCTTACAACTGCAGGTGGCCCCTAGTACCTTGCTGTAAAAATCTCTTCGTGCCCTGCAAAGTCTTTTAAGGCTTCCAGAATGACTTGGATATAAACGCCCCACAATGATCTGCCTAGGAGCTGAAGCAATCTGGGCTCCAACTTCCTTCAGGTAAGGGAGCTAGTCTTCCCATTGCAAGATACGGGTAAACCTGACCTTTTTTTGGAACACAAAGCTGTGTTAACATAAATAGGATTAAGCTTAACTCCACCACGATCCTAATAACATATGCTCTGCGTAGTAAACCTTAGACTAGGCTGATATGTTTTTCTTCTGAAAATCCTGGTTTTGAAAGAAATATATTTGTGTAGGAGTAGAACAGTGTGAGCCCCATCAAGTCTAAGATTGGGCTGAACAGAAGCTCAAACCAAAATGCAGGGAGAAGCTGAAAACTCCTGAGTGGCCAATGGTTGAAGGAAAAATTATTCAGTGAATTATTCAATTACTATGAAGGAAGAGAATGAGCTAGGTAGAACAACAGCTATTCCTTCTGTTAGCCATACCAGGTTATAAAACAGCAAGGGAAAACTCTAGGGATTTGTTCAATCCTGTGAAGTTTGGAGGTTGTGTAGGAAGCTGTGGTAGCATAATTACAGTATCACAGGAATTGGTGTAATAGGTCCCACAGGATCTTTTCCCTCAACTACAAAGACAAAAGTTAAATAAGAGGAGCGCTAAGAATTTGAGCAGCTGTCAGAGCAGGGGACCTGAGCAGGTTTGGGGGCTACTGGGTCCAGCCTCCAAGGCACAAAGGTTCTCTCTGTGTTTTTTATTCAGTCTGGGATGGGTTCTCCTGTTTGCTCTCCCTCTGGGGTTAGTGCCTCTTTTTGCTAATTATTTAGAAGGCACAAAATGTAATGTCCCGCTCTGTTGTCAGGAAGCGGTGTGAAAGCACAGGGAGTACCGCCTTGGAGAAGGAAAGGAGGAGTACTTTAGAGTGTGTCGTCTACCTCCTTGTTTGTTCCCAACCTCCTTTTTCTCCTCCTTGGAGTCTTGTTGACCAAGAGGAGGTGAGACCTATGTGAGCCTGGCTGGGACACATGTATTGTTTGAACTGGGATGCCTGCAACCACAAATGGTGATGGAGCATGTGCTTTTGGTGAGAGCATTTCTGTGGACAAGTGACAAGCACAGGCTAGCGAGTGCCATGAATGATGTCCATCCAAGTAGCAGATTATATTGCTGTGGCAGTAGTTGGGGCTCTTCTATTGTGAATTGAGATAGGTGTCTTGGGTTTTGAAATTGAATTCAGAAGGAGTGAAACAAGTGTTTTACTTTTTTTTTTTTTTTTAATGGGTCTGATTCATTAAACTGCATCTATGGCTGTGGATCAAGATCTTGTGCTTGCATTGGAGATACAGGGCTTTAAGCTATGGCCCACAATGTCCTTGTTATTGCCCAGTTCATGTCAGCTGATGGGGAAGCCGCAGAGACTTGTGAAGCAAAACATTTTTGACTCACTAGCTTAAAAATTGCTATTGGAATTTCTGCTGAGCAGCTTGGGGGCTTTGTCCCTTCATACATTTAACACCACTTTGCCATTTTTAGGTCACTGAACTTTTGTATCTGTTACTTTCCTGGTAAGTTCAGTCAACTGCTCACCACAGCTGCCAGAAGTGACAGCTTACTCCCTGGGTTCTTAGCTTTGTAGCAATCCAAGTCTCTTGCTAAAGTCATTAGATCTTCTAGTTTTTTGGATACAAAATCAGGAAATATGGATTAGTCCAACTGTCTGAACTTCTGCAGGAGAATCTTATGCTTTGTGGGGGAAGCAAAAGCAACCAACCAAATAACAAAGTCTGCCTGCTAATGAAATGTAAGTCTGTGGTATTACTGCAGCTATTGGCATGAAATTACTTTAATGGCGACACTCATATTCCATTGCCTCAAAATCCTACTTTTAATAATCATTGTTTAAAATGTAAATGCACTGGGATTTAGGAGTGACTTTTTCTTCCCCTAATACTAACAATGCTAACCTTCTCATGCTTGTAAGAGAGAGCATTTCTGGCAAACTTTTAGTCTCTTTCTTATGACTGCGTGAAGAATGTTCAGAGAAAAGAAATAAGAAACAAACTGTTTAGTGAAAGGGTCTATTTTTCCTTTGAGTGAGTGAAAACAGAAGTGTCTGAAGGAGAGAGCCATATAGACTCCTATAAAAATTGCTAATTTTGTGTAGGCTAGAAGGGGCTCTGCCCTTGTGAAATTACTACAATATAACAGTTTAGAACTTTGTCATTGTTCAAGCCGTTTAACAACAAGGTAGTAAATGCAACTGTGATAAGATTATTTCCTTAAATTACATAGACTTCAGATGCAGTTTTCATGCTGCAACTCTATCCAGTACATCTTTAGTTATGAATCTAGATATTTCTATAATGATGCTGTATTACTATAAACAAACCTACCTCTTTTCTCTGGTACTTGTTTGAATAAATTAAAACTTTATTGAATCTGTGTAATATAAAGCTCGTGGTCTCTGTGGCTCTGGCATTAGACTCTTGTGAGACTGAACCTCAGTGCCCACATATGAGTTAAAATACAAATGCAAGAAGTGGGGGTGCTTTTTGCAGCTTGCAAGAGTTATCACTGCCGTTCTGAAAATTAGCACAGGATCATCAACTTGAGCAAGACAGAGAAAGTCAAGGCTTGTTGATTTTTCCACAGTGCCTGGTCGCATTAAGTAGAAAATAAAGACCTCTGAAACTGGGTGGGCAAAATTGACATGCATAGTTGCCATTACAGCCAAAGAAGAGCATGCAGATCCAATCCACATGACAAGCCAAGTCTGCTCCAGCAAGCATGCATCAGATCTGCCACTTCTGCTTCCTTCCTTTCAAAATCCATCAGGCAGTCCTCCAAGCTCATCTGCCCTGTTCTGCTCTCCAGCTCTCTGCTGAGTGAGTGGAACTGACTGAATACAGGTCCAGTCACTTTTCTGAACCAGCAGACCGAACCATGGTGCGATTGCAGTTGGATTTCCTATGTCAGGATAATTAAGAATGAAGCTGTGATCAGATTGTGATTTTGATGGGCTGTAAAAGCATAAACTCTGACTAACCTTGCTGAGATAATATGGAATGGAGACTTAAAACCTGCTGGATCCGCAGAATAATGGGAAGCTTAGTGAAAAGGGGGCTAATCCCATAAATGGATCAGTTTGTTTACCCTCCATGTAGCACACTAGCCCTGCTGAAAGGGATTTCAGTGTTACCAGCATTCCTACTAGCCATGGAAGCACTACTGAGAGGGGGATGGAAAGGGAAAGGTCATGTGAACATGCTCTTTGCCTTTCAGTTGCTTAATCTAGATGGGTCCTCACACTGACCGGAAGCCTGAGTTTCAGTTTCCCTGGTCTTCCCCTTGTGGCAACACACACACAACTATATGAAGCAGCATCTAGTATGACCTGCTGGAAATGCAGTGCTCCTTGCTCTCAGGTCTTGCAGGTGTTAAGTGCTGTGGCAAGCCGACTTCCACATGTACAGAAATAGAAATTGGGCCATTAGAAATGCTGATGCAGCTCCAAGGAAATGCAGGAAGGGGGCTGTACAACAGGGTGTCTCTTCCCTGTTGAACTATTACAAATGAGCTGTGCTGGGAGTGTTAAGGAGGGAGGTTGTTGTCTTTTCCAGGAAATCTGTTCTGGTTGTTTCTTTCTGTAGATGACATAGTGTAATGGGAAATAACACAGGGTTTCTTGCTTCTGTATTGTGGGTTGTATACTTTCTTGATATGTGGAGAAATAGTGTGGATGGGACACTAAATGCTGTGAGTGAACCAATTCTGGCACCAAAACTGAGGGGATGGCAGCATTGATTTGGCACCAACCTAGATTAATTGTAATGTAAAGCTCTCTGCTCAGCTGTACTTAGATCATGAGTCCTGTCCTGCTGCCTGCTTGCTCTTCCTGTCCAGGTGTGGAGTGAGCTACACCACAGGGTGCAGTGATGTCAGTTAGTGCTCAGCAGGCTTTGGGATGAGACCATTGGTGTTTGTTTTCAAGGGCAAAAGACAATGAGACCTGTGAAAGTGAAAGAGAAAAGTGAGACCTATGCAACTTCCCCCTGAAAGGCAATGACGTGCAAACATTTTGTTTTTATTTTCAGCAACAGCTACAGGCATATGTGGCCTGGGTGAATTCCCAGCTGAAGAAGAAGCCAACAATAAAGCCAGTCCAAGACCTGAGACAAGATCTCCGAGATGGAGTCATTCTTGCTTTGCTCATTGAGATTGTAGGTCAGTAATGCCATATGGCATTATTTTTCATTTTGCAGTTTTTGATCTTGTGTAGAAGAGGTTGGCCTTGGCTCTGACATCTGCCAGGCATACTGGCAGATGTTAATGATGTTGTCAGAGCTTGCAGGATGGGGAGAGAGGAGTGACTTTAAAAGAAAACAATCATAAAGCAAATCACAAATGCAATTCTATTACAGTCCTTATGTTTTAGCAGACAGTTACAACAGATGTGCTAAAACCTGTGAGGGACCATATTAACTTCCACAAGGCTACAATGGAGTTATGAAAGGATTTCCCTTGTAGAGGAATGGTGTTCGTGTGGCATTTTTGGAAGAGTGACCTGCTTGCTGAGATAGTTCCTTCTTCCTGGGCTCAACTTTACTCCTGAATTCTCTACCTCCCCTCCCTGAGCAGTGCAGGCAGATGGAGTATGGGAGTTGCAGTCAGTTTGTTATACATTGTCTCTGCTGCTCCTTGCTCCTCACACTCTTCCCCTGCTCCAGTGGGGTCCCACGCATGGGATAGAGTCCTCCACAAACTCCTCCAATGTGAGCCCCTCCCATGGGCTGCAGTTCATCACGAACTGATCCAGCATTGGCCCTTTCCATGGGGTGCAGTCCTTCAGGAACACGCTGCTCCAGCATGGGTCCCCTGCGGGGTCACAGGTCCACTTAGCAGACCTGCTCCAGTGTGGGCTTCTCTCCACAGGGCCACGGGTCCTGCCAGGAGCCTGCTCCAGTGTGGAGTCTCCACAGGGTCACAGCCTCCTTTGGAGCACGTCCACCTGCTGTGGCGTGGGGCCCTCCACAGGCTGCAGGGTGGATATCTGCTCCACCATGGCCATCTGTGGGCTGCAGGGGGACAACCTGCTTCAGCATGGTTTTTACCACAGGCTGCAAGGGAATATCTGCTCTGGTGCCTGGAGCACCTTCTCCCCCTCCTTTACTGACCTTGGTGTCTGCAGAGTTGTTTCTCTTGCATAGTCTCACTCATCTCACCTGGCTGCAGTTGTTATCCCTTCTTAAATATGTTATCACAGAAGCACTACCACCATCACTGATTGGCTCAGCCTTGGCCAGTTGTTGGTCTGTCTTGGAGCCAGCTGGAACTGGCTTTGTTGGACACAGGTAAAGCTTCTAGCATCTTCTCACAGAAGCCACCCCTGTAGCTCCCCCACCACCACCCAACCTTGCCACGTAACCCAAATATAGTCTCTAACCTAGTTATTCTTGCTACTGGATACCTTATAAGCAGGACAAGAAGCCATGAGTGCCTCTTGCAGTACCCAAACGAGATAAGATCAGGGCCTACACCTATAGCAATTCCTGCGACAGCACCAAGCGGTTCA